GAACACAATTGGCGGTCGTGTGGTACCTCAGAAGTGGATCCGCGAGCTAGCGAAGTTTGCACGCGAGCACAAGCTGAAGATGCATCTAGACGGGGCACGACTTTGGAACGCGTCTGTAACCTCGGGCCTTGAGGTCGACGAGATGGTCGCCGACTTCGACTCGGTCACATTCTGTTTAAGCAAAGGTCTCGGAGCTCCGGTGGGATCTTTGCTTTGCGGCACCAGAGCCTTTGTTGAAAAGGCGAGAAGAACGAGAAAGGTCCTTGGTGGCGGTATGCGTCAGGTTGGTATCTTGGCTGCGGCCGGACTGGTCGCGCTTGATCAGGTCGTTCCTCTTCTAAAAGATGATCATAGGCGCGCTCATGATTTGGCTGTGGCTATAAACAAGATTGCTTCACCTTTCTTTTACGTCGATTTGAGTATCGACAGTACAAATATGGTTATGGTGAATGTCGTGGCCTCTGCTTTCACTGCCAAGGACTTTGTTGCGAGATTACAAGTAACACAGGACAATGTTGAAGAGGATAGAATTCTCGTTCGAAGCTTAGCTTTGTCAAATCAATTGGCTAGGTTTGTACTTTGTTACGAAATAACTGATCAACTTTTACAGGCTGCTATTAAAAAAATTAAGTACGTAATTAAGCAATTTGAATTGACTGTCGGACAAAAAATGTATTTGGAACGTGATTAATAAAAATTAAAAAAAAAATCTTATAGTTAATGATTTTTTTATTTTCCAACAGCTCCACTACTGTAAGTTTAGCTTGTAAATGGTATTCAATTATTTTTAAATAAAGCTTATAAAAGCACACAGATTCCAAAAATATAAATTGTTTCCATTAACTCTTGAAAGCATCTTTTACTTGTTCATCTTCCTCGTCTTCTTCTTCCTCTCCTTCACTCTCAAAAGTATTATCTGGTATATCATATAATCGAATCATTGGCTTATTGGGATCCTTCATAATTAAGTATTTTCCATCTTTCTGTTTCATGCAAATATCAATAATACAACGAAGAATTCCCCAGGCATTATCCATATTCAGGTTTATTTGATTGGCAAATTCATTGGGCTTATACTGTTGGGTTTCTAAAATTACATGCTTGCTGGAATCTCTCACGCTAGCTCGAGACACATAACCGAACTTCAGCTGATCAGAGCCAGCAAGTAAAGCTTGTACAGTCCATTTTGCTAATTTACAAGCGTTATTTCGTAATTCGTTGGCAAGGACTGCTCCTCTTTGAGTGTCCAACTTACGACGCCATTCAACTCCATTCGCTAATTTTGAATCCCATTCATTGAGAGCTTTTATAGTCAAAAACTGCGTCTCGTTATTTGGACCCTGCATTACAGCATCATGCTCACATCTTGCAATTAAAACTATGCCATTATTTAAATCCCATTTTCGGTATCTGTAGGCGACACTTGCAACTTCTCCTTCTTCCTCTTCCGAGATAAAAGGATTAGGCTCATCAAATTTAAATCTAGTCTCATTGGACTTGAGTACTTGCTGAGAGAAGTTGTGATTAATAAATGTTGCCTCTAAAGCTAAATTGCGAGGTGAATTTAATGAATTTCCATCATCTTGTGGTGGTTCGACACTCGTTTCATTAACAGTAAGTAAATCAAATTCAGTGTTATCACGTTTATCAAAAAATAATTTATTTCCAATCTTCTCGATTACAATATCCCAAGAATAGTTACTGCGAGTACAGCACATTATGGTAGCCAAAATCGAGTCAGTGGCATAAACATTACCTTCAGTTTTCGATAATTTACGAATAATGGGATCATCTGTAGTAGTAACAGTATGAAAGATACGATCAATCCTTTGCAATGGTTTTTCATTTTTGACGTTCACCCTATCATAAGTTTTATCATAAAACTCTAAAGCTCCAAAACACATGATATCTTCTCCATCTTTAATATTTGGAAGTGTAAGTTTGCTGAGACGTGGAAAGTCCATTTCCTCAATAGTTACCCAATCTGGTCTTACAGTTACTGAAGCATCTCGAATCTTAATTGGAGGTTGATTTTTGTGATTTCTAAGGCCTTGCTGACGACCCCAACGTTTCGTTTGCCCTTTGCGATCCCTTTCTCTAAGTTTTAATTTGCCAAGAGCTTGCATTTGATTCAATCCTCCACGCTGACCACCTCGTCCACGCATGCGTTGATTATGACGACCAAATCTTCCTCGCTGATATGGAGGCTTTTGAACACGAGTTGTGTCGACTAAATGGAAAGTAGATTCATCTTCATCATGATAATAAGCATATTGACTTCCCGATCCAAACTGAGAAGCATACTTATCTGAAAATAAATACATTCAGAATTAAAAATATAATCACATTTTCAAAATTTAATTTTATTTTTCAAAAATTAATAATTAAATCATACAAATTATTTAACATTAAATCTGATTTAATCAAATATTTAACATTAAGAAAACAGTATATCAAAAAAAAAAAAAGTTATATAATAAAATAATTCAGCGAAATTAAAAGGTATTACTAATTGTTATTTCAATTTTATTACAGACATTAAGAAGTTTCATAGTAATTAAATATATTTTTACATTATGTTTTTATAGTGTTAAAATTCAATAAAAGATTCAATTGTATTATAAATAATATTTCAGTAGACATAAGGCACTTTTACATTTAAATTATTAACATTAAATATTTATTTCAATTTCAATCGTATAATTTATACCTAATTAAATAAAGACATAATTAGTAGAATTCAAAGTAAAAATATACAGATATAATAGATTTGAAAATATATATTGGACAAAATGTGTTGTTAAAATATATTATATTAAACATACAGTTTATCCAAATAATTATGTAATATTCTTATTATTTTAGATAAAAAATTCATTTAGAACATAACAAATGAACTCACTTGCAAATTTTTTATCTTGAAAAGCTGGACCTGTCCAGTCAGAAATCTATTGTTAAAAAATAAAGCAAGTGAATAAACAAAAACAAATGAGAGAAAACTATATTATAAAAATATGTATATCACACTTTGCCAATCCTATCACCCTTAGAAAATGGCTGATAGGGTATATCCTTAAATTGATCAGGTAGTTCACAAGGTCCCCAACCTTTAGGGTTATACGGCACTGCTGGTAGCGTAAAATGCTCTTTCGCTGAATTTGATTTAGATAACTCTTCATTCGGTTCAGATGTATCACTCGACTCATCTAGAATCAATTTTTCCATTCCTACATCATTCATCTTGAGTTGCACACTAAAAAATTTATAAATCGTACATTATTATGAAACGCCTTTATATACACACTGTATTTAAATATAATTTCACAGTAAGTGCTTCCTCTATGATAAGTCAAGCTCGTAAATGTACATGTTAAAATTAAATACAGATAACTAGAAGGCATTAGTTACCTAGTGGAAGTTAAAACAATAAAATATTTCTTGTCCAAACGTGCAAGTTAGGTTATTTATAATAACCGATCACGTATCGTGGCAAGCGTTATCGTGACGCGTTACCGGAAAGGAACTCACCGCCATATTACATAAACTCACCGTCATGGATATTAAGAATTATTATTATTAAACGACAGAACTTCCAAGCAGCGCCACACATGAAGTCAATAAATTCTTATCCAATGATGGTAAATTAGTAGTTCGGCCTAGTGGCGCCATTCGCTATTTGAACAAATTTTTGCAGGAAATTTTAATGTAAAGGAAGGTCGAGAAATAAGGATATAGAACGTTGCTATTCCACTTTATCTCATTCTTGTACACGGGTTATCGATATTTGTTTGTCGGCTTCTCGACTTCATTTTCATATAATCAGTAACGGATATTCAAAATTGTCAGTTAATTATAATATAAATTTATCGTTTCACACGGCACGTAAGTTAACTCGTAATAGCATGATTCAGCGAGAACTTCGCAATTTTAATACAACTCTGTGGCTTCTTCATTTTAGTTTCTCCATAAACGCTGGACAAGTAATAGCCTCTCTGTGTTACTACCTATCCGCAAACGAGAATAGAATGACGGTTAAAGCAGTTTGTGTTCTTCAAGGCGATGCCAAGGGAACTCTTTTCTTTGAGCAATCAGTAAGCTTTTGAGTTAACAGTATTTTTTTTTTGCAAAAATTCAATACATCCATTTTTATAAGATATCAATGTTGTTTGTTTTCCTTTGTTCGAGCATCATTTGTTTATTTTTAGGGCGAATCGGACCCAGTCAAGGTGACTGGCGAGGTTTCAGGTTTGAAGCAAGGCCTGCATGGTTTTCATATTCACGAATTTGGAGATAATACTAATGGTGATTTTTCTTTCATAGGCATTCATATAATACGTTAATTAATTATTTATAAAACTAATTTACTAGTATACTTCATTTCATAATTATCTTTTTGTAAATATTCAGGTTGCACCAGTGCTGGACCTCACTTTAATCCTCTTGGTAAAGAGCATGGAGGACCTACAGATGACGTTCGTCATGTAGGGGACCTAGGAAACGTAGAAGCTGGAGCTGATGGTATAGCGAAAATCCAAATAACCGACAAATTTATTAATCTTCATGGAGTTCATAACATTATTGGCAGAACACTTGTGGTAAGTAACTAATGTTTTAATAGTTCAATAGTATTGTATAATTATTAACATAAGAGCTTTCGTTTTCACAGGTTCACGCTGATCCCGATGATTTAGGCAAAGGAGGACACGAGCTTTCAAAAACTACTGGAAATGCAGGAGGGCGTTTAGCATGTGGCGTCATCGGTATCACAAAAGCATAAAACTATTATTAAAGATGAAAACGAAAGCTTTATTGTATTCTATTATTATTCGAAATAGTAAAAATATCATTCCGATAAATTTAAAAATATGAAATAAAGTATTCATTTAGATAAATTAATTTTGATCAATATGAAGAGGTTATTTTTGAAATTATGAAATGTTTTATGATAAAATCTACAAATTTTTCAAAATATTTTATTATAAATAGTACATTTATGTAAATAGAAATATAGTAATTTACATAATTGAAAAAATTTAAAAAAATAAAAATTCATTTTAATTAAGAAATTTTTCTACAATTTTTTATACATCTAATTCATCTATACCTCATTTGATTTGTATTTGTATAATTTGGTGGATTATTTGTTTCAAATTTAATAGGTTTATAATTATGGTTCATTTTATTGTTCATAAGAATATGTGGCATTTGCTTATTAGAAGGATTTTTCAATAAAACATAAATAAGCCAAAAAAGTCCCAAAACAGTTTTAGTTATAAATTCAATTATACTTAATATAATTGGAGTAGCAACATTAATAGAATTTAAAATTAGATAGCCCACTTCTATACTATATTCTTTTATTATTATAATTGCCTGAATTATTAAAGTGGCAATGGCCATTATCGTAACGGCACTAAATTTAAAGGTTGCACATACATTTGTATATGTAAAAATCTAAAAATATGTAAATTTTATATATTTTAGGTATTTTTAGGATGTACTTTGTATTCTATAATTAATATACCTGCTGTAATCTTGAATAATCCAACTTAAAATTCTTAAAACTGCTATCATCGGGTGATCGAAAAGGTTGAATGTATTTTAATTTTAAAATTATTTCTGATTGAAGAAAATGAATAGCATCAATTTTAAACCAATGTTTTCCAATAGTGATATTATGTAATTGAACCCATAACAGACAATTATTGGATTTATAATTTTGTGAATCATCTAAAAAAGTACATTCGTATATAATGAAAATTATTAAATTTTTATTTTATAAATTATGTAAAAACTTTATACTTGAAATACCAATCCACTCATTGCTCGCACATGTCAGTAATATTTCTTTGATTTTCCATAAATTTGCAACAATATCTTCACTTGACTCAATAATAATAATGTCTCTGGAAATAGAAATATTAAAGCACGGTGAAAATCTCTTTCATTTTACTTAAGTCAAATTAAGATTTTACCTATATGCTTGTAAGGATTCGACATAACGTCTTTCAATGTATCGTCCAAGAAAAATTTTATTTTGAGTCAATTGTAATATATCATTTTTTCTAGTTAAAATTGAACTCCTTTTATTCATGACTATGGAAACACAGAAAATTAAATTCAAAAGAAAATAAGATTAGACGAAAGTTATTAATTTTATCGATATTGTTATTTACAATATAAATATGGTAAAAAAAAATATATATATATATATATATATATA